CTCTTTCCCCACCAAACACGGAATTTTCCGTTATTTATGAGACAACGCTTCCCCGCCAAACACAGAATTTTCCGGGTTTCCGTGTTTTCACTGTTATACACTCGGGGCGCTATTACGCATCTCCTGAATGAGTCTAGAAAGTGCAGATCAGAAACACAGACGAGGAAGCCGCAGAAACGAGCGATCTCATATGTAAGCATATGCATATGAAGAATAATGCGATCATCAACACTAACCGCATATAAATGAAAACTGCCTAATGCTACTGAGTGAAATGTGGATCCAGAAAGTGTTAAAGGCCTGTGCAAGCTTTAGGAGATAGATGGCTGATGGAAGCCATCTACTGCATCTTTGCTTTGATAATATTACTGAATATGATCCAGATGTAGTATTTGACAAAAATGCGATTTTCTCAACTTTTTGCTCAAAATGTTGCTTTTTTTTATGAAATCTTCCTACATTAAAGTGTTGATAAAAAAAACAATGCTTGAAGCTAGAATAAAACAGATTTTTTTTTTTTTTGAAAGTAGAGGGTCTGATCTTTATTTTGATATATTGCATGCTTAGATATTCAAACAACAATTTTGGGCCATGAAATTTGAGTCAAAATCTGCAAAAAATCTGAATAGTGACTCAAGTAAACTGATCACTCCTTCTTTTCTCTTGTGTTCTCCAGATGCGCTGTGGACCGGTGGCTTTGCCTCGTCCTTGAGCTCTTCCAGCTTGCGTTTGTGAAACTCCTTCAGCACTAACCACCGCCGTTCTTCCTCTATAGCTCTTCTCACGCTCTCCATGGCTAATCTTCTGAGCTATGTTTTGTTCCTGGCGCTCCGGACGTTCGCTGCCCCGCCGGAGTACATCCAAGTGTGGCCCGGCGGCTCGACGCTGGCCCCGGGAGATCTGGGCACGGTTGGCCCTTCTTTAGTTCCTCCTCCAGGAACCAGCAAACACGCGCCGCACAGCATCATCATCGGCGTGCGGAAAGGAGGCACCAGAGCGTTGCTGGAAATGCTGGATATCCATCCCGAAGTAGCAGCGGCGGCCACCGAAGTTCACTTCTTCGACTGGGACGAGAACTACGGCAAAGGCTTCGAATGGTACCGGGACCAAATGCCCTATTCGTACCCAAATCAGATCACCGTGGAAAAGACGCCGGGGTATTTCACGTCTCCGGTGGCGCCTGCGCGGATCCACGCCATGAACTCTTCCATCAGACTCTTGCTGATCTTGAGAGACCCGACGGAGAGAGTCATATCGGACTATACGCACCACCTAGCAACCACTCAAAACACCCTAGGAACCACATAGCAACCACTCAAAACACCCTAGCAACTATCAAGAACACCCTAGCAACCACTCAAAACAACCTTGGAATCGCAGAGCAACCATTCAGAATACCCTAGCAACCACCTAGCAACACCACAGCATCATGGTGGGAAGCATCACTCATATGTCAGAGTCTATTATTTAAACAGAGTCGTCTAAACATCATTTTTAGTAGGCAAAGGGTTACGGTGCTGTTTGACGCCCACTCGTAAATAAACATAGTGCCGCTCAAACGGCCACCATGACACATCGCACAGGGAATCACACATTTCACACATTTCGTAAACCACATATTATTAACGCTTAAGAAACATGTGATGAGAGATGCGTGAGTCACGTCGCGAGTCAGAGCAACAGCTAAATAATCAAACTATCATGAGCCATCCAAAAAAAAAAAAAGAGTGACTGGCGTGAGGAAGAAGTTTGAGAAGCGTGCGTGCGTGAGTGAGTGAGTGAGAGACAATATTAATATCCTCCATCTGAAAGTGACTAGTAGATAAGTGCATGTGACGTGCTGTAATAGCTCAAGAGAAAGTCTCAGCACTAATTAGGACGCGCGGTTTGATGTTTGCTTCAAATCAAATCCCACAGACGCACCAGTGTCCTCTCCAATAACATCACACAATGCTCTTCAGCCAGACACATGCTGGCTAATTTGATTTAGCGCTGGGGTTTTAGAAGTGAATAAACATGCTCATTCATTACCATCAGCTTGCGTGAAGCTCTTGCCTGTTGCACAAGCTTAACGGAAAAGTTCACCCAAAAATGAAAACAGCTGTTAATTTGCTCCCCCTCAGGCCATCCAAGATGTATGTGACTTTTTCTTCAGTAGAACAGTAAAGAAGATTTTAACTGAAATGCAATGAATGCAAGTCAATGGCTACCGTCATTTTGAGAGTCAAAAAGGCATATACAGGCAACACGAAATTAATCCCCGTGGCTCCTGATGATATATTGAGGTCTTATGAAGCGAAATGATAGGTCTGTGCAAGAAACTGAACATTATTTATAATATTATTACCAGTAATCCAGAGCCTCAGGCAAATGGGGAAATACGATTCTTTTCCATGAACTGATTCTTTTGGAGTTTGTTTCTATGAACTAGTTCAATTCACTAGTTTGTTTATGTAATCACACAATGATGTAACATATACGCAATTATATTATTAAAGCACCCAGTAATGATGTGAAACATGGATGTTTTACATGTCTAAAGCATATAAAGTGAATAAACTAGTCTTCATCAGCTCACCTTTTTACATAAAAACTTTCGTTTGGCCCCTTTATTCAAGTGTTCGGTTCATGCATGCGCATATCAGCGGCTCATCCGTCTTCGGTCCGAGTCGAACTGTTTCCTGGAGCGCTGAATCAGTTCATTCATCATAGGATCAGATA